TCTTGAACCGTATTAGAGCGAATCCATGTTATAGAAGTTACGTATTGTACGGGGTTTACCTGTATTTTTATTCTTCGAATGTTTTATTACGGTACGGAAAGTTACAGCAGTTTGCCTTAAGGCACGATGCCATGCACACCACTAATTTTATAACACATCACAGGTTTGTGATTTTTTTCAATTTTCAGCTCTCTGTCTAATTGAATGATCTAATAACCTGAATCCTTATCGCATTTTATACCAAGTAAAACGATGCAAAAGTTCAGTGGAACACAATAATAATGCTAAAAGTCTTAGAATTCGATTTTATGTTACTTACTAGGTGCAATTGTGCAATTGCATGCGTGCACTCGGAACATACTTATTAATTATAAAAAAGATTGCAGTGTTTTTAGAACTATAAGATAATTGTTACATCAATTCAGGCTGAGAAAATAGATTGAACTTGAATAGTGGTTTACAAATTGTCATCGATTTTAACATATTTTCAAATTATAATTGCCCCGAATCCACTAAATTAAATCATTATATTTTATCTACAACCAGTATTATCCCACAAGTTAGTTTTATACCATAATATTCTTACTAAATTTTTATCGACTTTATTACAAGATCTCATGAAAATCGTGTTAATGTCCCAAGAAAATTTGTCCTTGTTTTCCTAAAAAAAATCATAACTTAGTCAAGACCTTGCTGATGGCCTTGTAGTCTTTATTAGAGGTAAATAAATATGATAGAATTGCTAATCAGGTGAAGTGATTATAATTTTATAAACACGCGATATATCAGGATACTTTAACCAATTTATCATACAAAACTATATTTTCGAAGCAAACTGTTGAAAAAATTATTAAATTGAAATAATTTGTTTATTTTAATTTTATTAAAATAGAAATTTTAAATAGCTAAATCTCAGCTTACACATATAGGGATTCTCATACAACTTGTCAAGACACTTACATATAATTTAATGTTTATAGTTTTTACAATTCTATATAGTTCGAAAATAGACAAAAATTTCGATTTCTACCATATAAAATATTATTAAAGTTCAATTTATTTTTTAAATCAGAAGTGATATCACAATGAATAAAGTAAAATTAAGCCAAGATTTCTCTTTATAAAATATTCGAGGAATATTAAATGTTTTTAAAACAATTATTATAAATACGGTAGCTTTCATGATTTTTATTTTATAGACAAAATATAAGATCTTATAAATTGGACGTTGACGTTTTATACGTTTACATAAAAAATAAAGAATAGAACTTAATGAACGAGAATTAGAATGAAGGACCTTATCTCATATTTGTAAGAATTATATAAACTGAATTGCATTGTTTTAATTATTTATTTCAAGTAAATAAATGAGCTTTGGAAATGAAATAAAAATTAAAATCCGAATTTTTAACTTCCCGTAGGGCAAGTTATAGTAATCGCAAAAAAATCGAAAATGAAAATTTGTATATATCTTTACGTTTCAGAGGTTTCTGAGAATTTTGGCATACCTTATAAAAATGGATGTATGTGTGTGTGTATGTGTGGTTGTGTGCGTGTGTGTGTGTGCGGATATAAATTTTCGTCGATGATTTCGGGAACACTGATCAACCGATTTGAATAATTCAAAAAACATTCGATTCGTATTGATAAGGAGACATGCTGATTAGTTTTTGGCGAAGGCAGGTCTAGCCGTTCCGAAGATACGGGGCAAAAAGTGCCAAAAACGGTAACTCAGTTTTTAAGAGAACGGAGCATCCGATTTGAATAATTCAGAAAACATTTTACTTGCATTAACAAGATGAATTGATCAAATTTTCATGAAGGCAGGTCTAGCGGTTTCGGAAATCTAGTAAAAAAAGTAAAAAAAATGCCATTTAGCGGTCAAAAATGATTATTAGACATATGCACATCAAATTATCAGATATTTTATAGAGATTTTAACAATAAGTATAAATTTTGTTTACATTCCTATGGGTTCCGTACCAATGTTCATCCGTTAGACGGCGACGCGGCGCTTACGCGCTTTGACATTTCGTCTTTATGCAGTTAAAGCAGTACGATTGCTTTGAAAAAAGTTCAGAATTTCCAAAATATGTCAAAATAAAGAAAACATTTTTTTTTCAATAAACATTTTTTTTTTCAAAAAAAGTAATTTTTTGTCAAATCTATAGTTTCTCAAAAATCTAATTTTCAAAGTAAATTTTTTTCAAAAATGTTAATCGCTTTTAAAAAAAAAATAATTTTTGGTACGGGAGTTCCAGCAATTTGCCTTAAGGCACGATGCCATGCGCCCCACTAGTTTGATATTCAAATTTTTTTTGTGTTTTGCCCAAAAAACGTTTTGTCAATATATAACCAAAACCTTTTTTTGAATTTTTTGAATTATTTAAATCGGATGTTTAGTTTTCTCAAAGACTTTGCACTTTCAGCTCCGTATCTATGAAACGACTGGACTTGCCCTTGCCAAAAACTAATCACGAGTTCTGCCCATCATTACAAATTGAATGTTTGTTGAATTATTCCAATCAGATGCTCCGTTATACAAAAAAAATCAGTGACCATTTCTGGCACTCTTTGCTCTGTACCTTCGAAACGCCTAGACCTGCCTTTGCCAAAAACTAATCAGCACGTCTCCCTATCAATACGAAACGAATGTTTTCTGAATTATTCAGATCGGTTGAGCCGTGGTCCCGAAATCGTCGACGAAAATTTGTATCCGCACACACACATACATGAATTTTTTCTAAGGTATGCCAAAATGTTCAGAAACCTTTGAAACGTAAATAAATATAAATATTTTATTTTCGATTTTTTTGCGATTACTATAACGTATACGTTATTGATGCAACTTGCCTCAAGGCAAAATACTACTTACAACTAAATAATTTTTTCTACCCTTATAATCCCTATATATTTAACTCTACATTTTTTAATTCCCCTAATAATTCCTAGTTAAACCACATAATAATTTTAATCAAAACGAAATAATAGCATGGTTGTGCAAAGGTGCAGTATAGTCTAGTTATATAACTATAATAGCTATATAGCTGTAGCTGTAGTAGGAATTGCAGTTTCTCCTAGTTAATAGGAAATGCTCACGAAACGATTTCGCCGTTTGCTTAATAGGTTAATGCAGACAAATTTACTACTACCTGATTACTTTGAATAATTAACTAATAGACTACTACTGGGTAAATAGAACTTTGTGCCGATTAGGAGATAATTGACCTTGTTTTAGAGTTTTAAACCTAAAAAGTTTCTAGGAGATCCTTGTAATATTATTTGAAACACGTAAAATATATTGAAATTGTCATACCAGTATTATTAAATCAGCACTTCAATTATATCGTACAATCACGAGTATTACCTTAACACACAATACATTATTTTTAAGTAAAAATATTATGAATGTCCCTCATAAATTAAACCCATGAGTCCTTCCCCAATTGTCGATTAAATCTAATCTTACGTACATAAAATTTTCTATTAAATAACACACGACGAATTAATTGACGATTAAACACGCTATCAATATGATTTAAACAGCCCACCTTGAAAATATATTATATACATACTGTGCAAAGAGTATGTTATTGTAAATATATCTTAAATGAGTAAATATACCTTGATGTTATAATTTTTTAATCTTTCAGGAAACGTTCGTTTAGTACGAAATAATATCCTTTGGTCACGCAAACGAGGAATGAATGAAATTATTGGACTCATTTTTGACATTGAAATAGAAAAGGATTTAAACCAATTTTCATTCTTCAAGACAGTTTTATGGAAAATCCTTTTTAGGAACTATGACTCAAATACTTCCCGTATGGTAGTTATCGTTATGGGCCGAAAATCGAAATTGAAAATTTTTACATTTCTCGACGATTTGAAGGTTTCTGAACATTTTGGCATACCTCACAAAAAATGGATGTGTGTGTGTTTTGTATGTCCGCATTTTTTCGTTCACGTTTCCGGGCGCACGGATCATCCGATTTGAATGGTTCAAAAAACATTCGATTCCTATTGATAGGGAAAAGAGCTGATTAGTTTTTGGCAAAGGCAGGTCTAACCCTTTCGGAGATACGGAGCAAAGAGTGCAGAAAATAGAATACGAGTTTTTGAAAGAACGGAGTATCCGATTCGAATGATCTAAAAAACATTCAATTAGTAATGATTGGGAGAAGTGGTGATTAGTTTTTGGCAAAGGCAGGCCCAGCTATTTCGCAGATACGGAGCTGAATGGCAGTTTTTGAGAGAACTAAGCGTCCGATTTAAATGATTCAAAAAACTTTCTACTTGTCTTTTCAAAAAAAAAAAATTTTTGTATATCGAAAATAATTTAGATTTTATTTTTAATTCTGACTATAGTTCTAATATACTTTAAACAAATAATTTCAACTTTGCGATTCAGTTTATATAATTCTTATAAATATTAGACAATGTTACAATATTTATAATAATCTATTTGAAAACATTCAATATTCCTCGAACATTTCGTTACAGTACGGGAAGTTCCAGCAATTTGCCTTAAGGCACGCTGCCACCCACCCCACTAGTTTTCTATTTTTTTCAAGCTAGTTTCGAAAAATACTAACACCGTTGACGTTGAATTCTGGGACACCATGCAATAAATACAAGAAACCTTTTAAGGATAATAAGAAATTTTCACAGATTAGTCACACTCTTTGTTTCACGCAGTTCAATATAATTTTGAATATATACATATTTTGTCTATCTTTGATTTTCAAGAACAAGATGTTAGTAATTGGTAGTTTTTTTTTTCATCTGACCAAAATCATTTTTAATTCATTCTTTATAGCTCTTATTTTTTTGTGATTTAACAATCAATTTACTTCTCTTATAAATATTTTTCGTCCTTTTCATGAGTTTTTGTATTTTTACATACATTATCATGCTTTCAGAGTAAAATTTTGATCCTTGTATGGTAATTTATTGCTATTTTGTCATAATACGAAAGATTATATAATTTAATATTTTAGGAAAAGATCTTTGTCCGAACCAGGAGCTGATCATGGTAGATCACACAAAGGTCGTTCTGGAAAAGTATCGACAATCACTGTAGATCAATTGGGAAGGTATAGGCGAAGGAGGCCATCAGGTTTGGACAAAAAAATTATACCTAACAATAGATTAAAATAAAAACCAACACTTACATGTCTTCTCTGTTATCCATTATTTTTTTCTATTTAGGAGTTTCTCCAGACAACATACAGTTGCTCTCAGGTTCTTTTGCACAATTAAAGAGTGAGTATATGAGAAGGTTCCGTGCACCTTCTTTGGAGGCCCTTCAAAGGGCAGCAGAACTGCCTCCAATTTATAGACTTTCGCAAAAAGCAGAGAGCAGCACCGAAGCATCACCTGTCAGGAGAGGTCGAAGGCCTGATGAATTGATGATAGAAAAAGGTAAAGAGTAAAAAAAACTGATACTTTGATGGGGTAATTCTGCCAGAACAGAGCTCATTGTCATGGCAAAGCTATCTTATTCTTGTTTATTGGCAGTGAAAATGTCCATCTAGTTGTTGTGCGATCAGGCGTATTTTACATATAAACAAGCAAGGAAGGATAATAGTGCAGTAAACGGAGAGGAAAAAAGGGTGTAACCTCTGAATTTTTTTACTGTGCTCCGAATTGAATGAAATTTTGGAATTATGTTCATCTTACCCTCAAGTTCAAAAGTGAAAACAAGTCGGGCTGCGCCATCACCCCCCGGAGGGATGACACCCCCTCTCAATTGTGTAATTACGATTTTTTCAAAATAACATCGGAAATCGATAGAAGAACTAACTATAAGAAAAAAATGTCTTCTATAGTTTTTCAAAAAAACTAATACTTTTCAAGTTACTGGCCACTAAATATTCATATATTTTTGGCGTTTTTCTTCGTTTTTTTGCAAATATCTCCTAAAATATACATTTTAACGGAAATCATGTAATGAACAAAATAATGTCAATAAAAATCTTAATAAATCGGTATTACATAAAGTGTTCTAGGAAAAATATTAAGCAAGATTTGAAAGAGCAAATTCGTTTTTTATTTCGTTCAAGATTTAATTGTTGTGTTTAAAGTCATCTAGTGTCGAGGTTTTACATTTTATGCATTTCGGTGAAATTGGGTTTTATAGTGCTCAACACAAGCTTTAAAATGAGTGCTGTTACAAGTTTTTTGCGTGTAAAATGAGTGAGCTGTCATGCAAATAAGAAGCATATACGATGTTTTTTTGCATTTAAATCATATGGTTTAATAAGCGCCATTTCCACCAGAATTAAAGTAATTCACATTCCATCTAGAATTCACTTCATTATAGACATCTTGATGGATTCTAGCAGATTCACTACTTTAGTACAAACTATTTTCAGAAAACTCACGATTTTATAAAAACTTTTTTTTTCCTTTTTTTTAAAATCTAAATTATTTTCATTATATCTCAAAAAGAATAAAAGATACGTATAAAAGCATTTAGATAAAAGTCAAAGGGATCTTTCTGGCTTATTTTTGTTTTTTATTATTTTTCTTTCACACAAAAATTGACAGAGTTATGAATGTTTAAAGACTGCGCGGCCGCGCAAATTGGAAAAAAAAGTTTTTATAAAATCGTGAGTTTTCTGAAAATAGTTTGTACTAAAGTAGTGAATCTGCTAGAATCCATCAAGATGTCTATAATGAAGTGAATTCTAGATGGAATGTGAATTACTTTAATTCTGGTGGAAATGGAGCTCATTAAACCATATAATTTAAAAGAAAAAACTTCGTATTTGCTTATTATGCTTCTTATTTGCATGATAGCTCACTCATTTTACACGCAAAAAACTTGTAACAGACTCATTTTAAAGCTTATGTTGAGCACTATAAAACCCAATTTCACCGAAATGCATAAAATGTAAAACCTCGACACTAGATGACTTTAAACACAACAATTAAATCTTGAACGAAATAAAAAACGAATTTGCTCTTTCAAATCTTGCTTAATATTTTTCCTAGAACACTTTATGTAATACCGATTTATTAAGATTTTTATTGACATTATTTTGTTCATTACATGATTTCCGTTAAAATGTATATTTTAGGAGATATTTGCAAAAAAACGAAGAAAAACGCCAAAAATATATGAATATTTAGTGGCCAGTAACTTGAAAAGTATTAGTTTTTTTGAAAAACTATAGAAGACATTTTTTTCTTATAGTTAGTTCTTCTATCGATTTCCGATGTTATTTTGAAAAAATCGTAATTACACAATTGAGAGGGGGTGTCATCCCTCCGGGGGGTGATGGCGCAGCCCGACTTGTTTTCACTTTTGAACTTGAGGGTAAGATGAACATAATTCCAAAATTTCATTCAATTCGGAGCACAGTAAAAAAATTCAGACCTAAAACGCTCCGTTTACTGCACTATAATATAATAGAGAATCAGCGATGGTGCAGTTATCGTAAATTTTTCCTTGCTTTGTTTATATGTAAAATACGCCTGATCGCACAGCAACTAGATGGACATTTTCAAAATTTTCACTGCCAATAAATAAGTGGCCTTGTCTCGTCACGATTTTTCCTTCAGAACGAATAAATCTTTTGTTTTGTTTTTCTTTTTTTGCGTAATTTTCTTTTATTATAAGTAATGCTATGTGATTTTTTTTGGGAATCAAATTTTCCTTTCCTATGATGGATATTATACCTACGGGTAAAAATTCTAAATAAGAAGAAACAAAAAAATAAGTGGCCATGACAACGCTATGTTATGAGTTTTATTATGGCAGAATTGCCCCATCCTGTTACATTTATAATAATATTCTGTTTTTTTAAGCTACACAACTAACAACATGAAGACATTTTAGTTGTTATACTAACATCATTTGTCTACTATTTGTTCAACCTATTATTAGGTGGTAAACTTTTCATACACAACCGTACAGTCACACAGATTTTGTATTCTCTTTATTAACTTCCCGTATGGTAAGTTATAGTAATGAGCCGAAAATCTAGAATGAAATTTTTTGCATATCTTCTCGTTTTAGAGGTTTCTGAACATATTGGCATACCTCAGAAAAAATGTGGGTGTGTGTTTTTTGTATGTCCGCATTTTTTCGTCCACGTTTTCGGGCGCACGGATCAACCGATTTGAATGGTTCATTCAAAAACATTAGATTCCTATTGACAGGTAGATGTGCCGATGAGTTTTTGGCAAAGGCAGGTCCAGCCGTTACGGAGATACGGAGCAAAGAGTGCAGAAAATGCAAATCGAGTTTTTGAGTGAACGGAGTATCCGGTTTGAATGATCTAAAAAACATTCAATTTATATTAATTGGGAGAAGTGGTGATTAGTTTTTGACAAAAACAGGTCCCGTCATTTCGAAGATACAGAGCTAAATGTGCAAAAGGCAGTTTTTGAGTGAACTAAGTGTCCGATTTGAATGATTCAAAACACTTTCTGCTTGAGACAAAGAAGTCTTTTTTATTTTCAAAAATAATTCGGATTTTTAAAATTCTAATTCGGTACGGGAAGTTCAAGCAATTTGTCTTAAGGCGTGATGCCATACACCACTAGTTTCAATTTATATGTTCTTTCTTCACAGTTTGAAAAGAAAAAAAATGTCACATTCGACACTCGTACATAAAGAACGTCTAGCGACGACTATAGTCGACGCTCGAAGCGAAAGGGAAAATATGCTATAATATTTAGCGCAAATAAATTAAAAGAAAATTTTACTCTGGGTAATAAATTTTAAAGCAAAATTTGTTATACTATAATCGACACTCGCACACACAGGTCGTCTGGCACAATAGTCGACATCTTCCTATTTACTTGCATTGATTTACTTTTTTGAATCATTCAAATCGGATAATTAGTTCTCTCAAAAACTGCCATTTTTTGCACATTTAACTTCGTGCCTCCAAAATGGATAGACCTGCCTTTACCAAAAACTAGTAACCACTTTTCCTAATCATCACAAATTGAATGTTTTTTGGATCATTTAAATCGGATACTCCGTTCTCTCAAAAACTCGATTTGTATTTTCTGCACTCTTTGCTCTGTATCTCCGTAACGGCTGGACCTGCCTTTGCCAAGAATTAATCAGAACATCTCCTTATCAATAGGGATCGAATGTTTTTTGAACCATTCAAATCGGTTGATCCGTGCGCCCGAAAACGTGATCGAAAAAATGCGGACATACAAAACACACACGCATCCATTTTTTCTGAGGTATGCCAAAATGTTCAGAAACCACTGAAACGTGAAGATATGCAAAAAAAATATTTTTTTATTTTTGGCGTATTACTATAACTAACCCTACGTAAAATCTAAATTCTTAACTGAATCTCTAAATTCTTTGACGTTTTTGGATTTTTATTTAAATGTTTCAAAAATAATAATCATTAAAAGTTCTTCTTTTTTTCATTAAAATAGATATTTTTACGTTTTTCCAAAATGTGCTGTCGATAATATGTACATTAAGGTGGTCCTTAATATGGATATTGTGCATTTTCTTAGCTCCCAGCGGTTCAAATGCTTCCAAGTTGATTAAAAAAAAGTCTGAGAGTTTTAGCTCTTAATTTCATTTGTTTTTTAGAATTTTATTACTTAGCGACAAGTGAATCAAAATTTTGAGAGTAACATTGTATTTGCTTATTTTGATCATAAATAAAAAATTGGCGCATTACTATAACTTACCCTACGGGAAGTTAATAATTTTTAGATCCGCTCTGGAACGAGTATCTAAAATTGCAAAAACACAATGAACCCTGAAAGACACCACAAGCATTTCACCACTAGTTTTCAACACCAAGCAACATTGAAATCACCACAACCACAACCACAACATCTGAATTTTTACCCCATACACCACTAAACATCTAAATCACCAAAACCAACCACAACCAACACATTTCTGCTAACTCTTTCCAAAATTCACAAACTCTTTCTATCTTTTTTCTGGCACATTTTGCTTTTCATATCACCATCATCAGTGGCGTTTGTCGCCAGCACCGAGCACGCCTCCAGATTTGTTCATCATCCTGTACAACACAGGACCGAATTGGTCATCTTTAATTGCAATCTGGAATCCCCAGGGCCCGCCGAAGGGGACTCCGAACACAGGAGCGAATTTAGGAAATACGAAGACCCACCGAGGTAAGAGACTATAGTCCTAGATTTTTGAAGTAAAAGTTAATAAAAATAAATAAATAAGTAAATCTGTACAAATGCGTTACGGCAGATAAGATAAGATAAGAGTCGAGTGCAAAAAAGATTCGTCATTTGTTGTCGATGATATCATTTCTATACGGGTCGATTGTGATCAGTCGTCGCGTATGCGAATAGAGATCTGTCGTTGTATGCGTACCGGCATCAATGTTCTTAATTTTCAGATATTTTTATTAACAAAACATTAAATATATGCATAAAGTGAAAAATCTTATAAAACCATGTTAATATGTACAAAATAACATTTAATATCCAGCCTAAATATCACAATTTACATGTCACAAAAGTATCTTAAGTAATATATTAGACTTTTATCAACTATTACTATCGGCAGACAATTTCAAATCATTGCCTCGTCATTTAATTTTGAACAATAGATAACGAAAAACCGTAAAACAACAATTTGTTAGATTAATATTGTTTTATTGATAAATAAAACAAATATAAAAGTATGGCTTCAATTTTTTAGGCAAGACAGATATTACAGCTGTTCAAAGAATGAGATTATATCGCCAGCAAAAAATACAAGCAGTCAATAAATGTATGTTAATTTTAACATGATGAGTGAAGTTGCGAAAACAATATTCGTTTAGGCATTGTTTAACATAATTCACTGTGTGAACGAATATTATAGAATTTATTAATCAGCAATTACTTCTTTTCTCTAATAAAGGTTCATTTCTAAATGCTAATTACAATGACAAACCGATCATGTCATATTTGAAGTATGACTTTAATTACATTATTGTTTTTAAATATTATACATATTTTTAATGCTATTATAATATAATTTATAATTTATCATTATATAAATGTGTATAATGGTTGACACTGATAAATGTGTGCATCACGAGTGTTAACATATTGCTGATAAACATTATTCAAAATTGTTATATGATGTATTTATTTTTGCTTAAATGCCATCTTGTACAATAGCAAATAAGTTTTACTTCAATCGCGTGTGAACCTTACGCACACTCTTTTTAACTTGCCGAAGAAGTTTATGTTTTCATCAAAAAATCTGATTCGCTAATTTTGTGTTTTCTCGATGTTTCAAACCATTCTGAATCGAATGAGACCAAACTTAAGGAAAAAGTATGTGTGTGTGTGTTTGTGTGTGTGTGTGTGTGTGTGAACACATTTTGTGCCGTAAATCGACGATATCTTAAAAACTTTTTGAAAATTCAAATACCGTTCGAAACATATTGGTTGGGAATCGTGCTGATTAGTTTTTGGTAAAAATCGGCCGGAGCGTTTTCTTGTAATAAAGTTTTTTAAAAAAAAGTCGACGATTTTTATGTTTATTTTTTTGACGGTAGATACCATAGTCTTCTAGGTCATACTAAAATATTACGGCCCTACGACAACTCGTTTAGCTTTAAAAATTCGTCAAAGTTTGCAAAAATTAGTATGGTCTTTTTGGCATTTGTCAAAATTAGACCTTTGATCGACGTTTGCTCAAAAACGCCTGAACCGATTTCAGAAATTTAAAAACCATTTGATGTATCTCAATGAGAACTATCGTTTGTCAGTTTTGTGAGACGATCTACCTAACCGTTTCTTTGTAATTTGAAAAAAAGTGTTACACTTTTCGTCCACATTTAACAACAAACTACCGAACTGATTTTAAAAAATCAAAAACTGTTCGAAAGATATTAGTTGGGAATGATACTGATTAGTTTTAGGTAAAAATCTACCTAATCGTTTTCTTGTAATTAACTGTTGAAAAAAAAAATTCAAGTGGATTTTTATAGAACTTTTTTTGGCGATATATATCATGGGCTTATAGAACTTACTGAAATATTACGGCCTTACGACAAGTAGTTTAATTTTAAAAATTCATCAAAGTTTGAGAAAATGAGTAGTTTTGTTGACGTTTGTTAAAAATAAAATTAGATGATTTTACTTGCTATAACGATAATGTACTTGGTCTTGAACATACTAAACCATTAACGTCCTGCGGAATCTGATTCAATTATATAAATTATTGATTTTTGAAAATTTGCTTTTAAAAAACACTCCGAGTTAACGTGATAATTCGTTTTCAATTATGTGTAATAAACGCACTCGGAATACTTTTAATGACTCATGAATTAATTTATTTTTTATTGATTAAGTCAATTATTTACACATATCGGGAAGTTCATGTAACTTGCCTCAAGGCAAAATACCAATACCAACTAGTTTTACTTTTACTTATTACCTTTATCCTTTAGACGTGAGCACATATCCAGGCGCAATACTGAACTGAAATTGGAGGGCGATTTGAGGTCTGACACGGAATATAAGGCAGAATTTGTGCCTTTGGAGATGCCTCCGCCTCATCCTAAGTCTGCCAAATTGAGGAAACCTGATCCTGAAATTGGTTATATCCAGGATGAAGGTGGAAATCGTTTGCCTTTGATGGAAAGCGAGTACCAGAGAAGTTACAGTCCGATAGGATCACGCAGATCTAGTGCCACTCATTTGAAATTAGAAGGTGACCCCAAAATTATACATAAATCTTTAAGATTAGATGTCCAAACTATTATTTTTGATGTAAAACTTCTTTAGACGCGACATGAGTGTAAATCCGTACAAATGCAACGGAAATTGTTACGGCAAGGTCAAGTGAGAGTCATTCGTGCTCGATGATATGATTTCTATACGGGTCGATTCTGATGCGTGACTTTATACGTGCGTACTAGGGATTATACAAAAACCAACATTTCAGAAAACCGGTTTTTGAATTTTAAGTTTACTAAAAAAACCGATTTTAACCGGTTTTCGAATTTTATATAGAAAATAAATTTTTGCTCGAATATCCTGTAATTTATCTGCAAATTTAGTGTAGTTTAGAGCAGTATTCCACTGATTTTTTTTATTGTACAATTTTTTAGATAGTCAACAAAATTATTTGAATTTTAATTAGTAGAACTAAAAAATAATAGTTTATTTTGATTAAATAACTTTGAAAATAATTATTTGTTATTCATGCATTATTTCACATATAAGAATGAAAATATTTTTATGATAGTGAAAAGAAAGTTTTCCAATAAATAAAAATAATACATTTTTAAATAAAAAACAGTCATTAAATTAAAAACGTTAAAAAAATATTAACAAGCATGTTGATGCATACTTGTTAATATCAATTTTAGTCTTAAAAACAATTAAGCTAAACTCGGGTATTGCCTGTTCCGAGCAATTTTAATTAATTAATTTTAAACATTCTAATTGTTTTTTCTTGTTTGATAAAATATGATTTTAAAATTGAGAACGTCTATCGAATTGCTACTTAGACGTGTCCTTTGTTTACTCACAAAATTTACTGAAATAGAAAATACTCTCATACTTGCGACCAAATTATGCTTAATTGTTTTTAAAGCCCAAGATTTTTGTTCTTTTATTTGCGGCTTCTAGAGTTTAAAACTCTTTTTTTTAAATTTGAGTAAACGAAGTTACTTCTTCAAAAAGTCACACTGATTTAAATTAATTTATGCAACGATATAAAATCTAAATTAATATATAAAATTTCTGGAAACTATTGCAGACTGATAAGATATCAAATGCTATTGAACCGATATGATTTCAAAAATCAAAACGCTTTCATCTATCTTTTATATTTGGCTATATTTGTCTTTTTCGATTTATACAGTGAAAACCGACTTTTTTCACTAACAAACCGGTTTTCGAATTCCATAATTTTCTCCAAAAAACCGGTTTTTGAAAACCGACAAACCCTAGTTAATAATATGGTTAATTTATTACCTCGTAATATTTATGATGATCATTGCATTAACGTTCACATAAAAAAGAAAATGATTTATATATCAAGCTATGCGCAGGGCTTGATAAATAAAACAAATATAAAAGTATGGCTTCAATTTTTCAGGCAAGACAGATATTACAGCTGTTTAAGGAATGAGACTGTATCGCCAGCGAAAAAGTAAAAAAATACAAAAAGTCAATGAATTAATGTTAATTTTAATTACATGAAATTCTTTAAACACAATTGTTACAGGATGAGTTAATTGCTAAAACAATATTTGTTTGGGCGTTGTTTAACATAATCCACTGTGTGAACGAATATTATAGAATTTATTAATCAGCAATTACTTCATTTCTCTAATGAAGGTTTGATTCTGAATGCTAATTACAATGACAAACCGATCATGTCATATTTGAAGTATGGCTTTGATTGAATTATTGTTTTTAAATATTATACATATTTTTAATGCTATCATAAATATATAATTTATAATTTATCATTATATAAATGTGTATAATAGTTGACAGTGACACTAATAAATGTGTGCGTCACGAGTGTTACCATTTTACTAATAAACATTGTTCAAAATTGTTATATGATGTATTTATTTTTACTTAACTTAAATTTTGTACACTAGCAAATAAGTTTTACCACAATCGCGTGTGATCCTTACAGGCACTCTTTTTGTGTTTTTTAGGTGACTTTGCCTTAGCAGCACGTTCCAAAGAAACTTTCGAAAAACTTCAAACAGAATCCCAGCCTAAAGACCAAGATAAAGGTTTAGTGATGTCCGGTACCATGGCAATTTACCCTAAGGATCCTGGTAAAGAAAACAAAGATAAAACAAACTCTAACGAACCTTCTGATGTCAAACTTGAAGGCGATTTTCAAATTGTGCAAAAAGAGAAACCATTCAAATTACGCCCAACACAGCCTCCGAAATTGGTGGGAAAATGGAGCGATTTGGGCAACGATGCCAGATCTTTTCGAGAGGACAAAAGTCGTGTCAAAAGTGCCAGAAAAAAACAGGCAGATTCTGATATTTTGAGAAGTCGACCTCCTACTGGCAGAGTTACCGAAAAGTTTGATATTAGGAGAAGTAAGATGGACGAGGGCCCACCTTTTGAGGTAAAATGAAATACAAAATAATTCTAGTTTTTTTCTTAGTTATTTTCTCCTGCACATTAGTGAAAGCCAAAAAAAACATCTTTTTAACATGATCTTGTCTTCTAGTCCTTAATATCCTTTACATGTGATTCAGTTAAAGGATTTGATACACACGTAGTATAGAGAAAATTGTCACTTGCTTTCCAGGGGCCTTTCGAATGTCAACCAGAGTATAGAAAGGCCAGAATGGACATGCTTATTAAAGAAAGGCCGCCTCCTAGGAAGGTGAGATGAAAAAGTAGTTGTAAGTTGCGTTTTGCCTTGCGGCAAGTTGCATGAACTTTTTGTTGATAGATATAGATCATCGACTTATTCAATAAGAATTAGAGTGAACAATTTTGAAGCAAAAGTCGATATACTTGGTGTCGTCTATAGGCGACACTCGTACACACAGTGTCGCCTATAAGCGACGTTTGTTACAAATAGATTAATTTCGTAGAAGTAATAACTATCAACATTTTATTATACTACTTACTATATGAACATAATCAATAAAAATTCATCACACCGAGTGTCGTCTATAGGCGACACTCTACACGCTTGTAACGAAAGGGTTAATTTTGCCAAAGTTAGTTTTATCAGCATTTTATTATATTGCTTACTATATGAACTTATTCAATAAAAAATTTAGTGATCAATATTGATTCAACACACTGGGTGTTGTCTATAGGCGACACTCGTACACGCTTGTAACAATAGGATTAATTTTGCCAAAGTTACAATTATCAGCATTTTATTATAGTACTCACTAAATGAACTTAATCAATAAAAAATTGAGTGATCAATATTGATTCAACACACTGGGTGTTGTCTATAGGCGACACTCGTACACGCTTGTAACAATAGGATTAATTTTGCCAAAGTTACAATTATCAGCATTTTATTATAGTACTCACTAAATGAACTTAATCAATAAAAAATTGAGTGATCAATATTGATTCAACACACTGGGTGTTGTCTATAGGCGACACTCGTACACGCTTGTAACAATAGGATTAATTTTGCCAAAGTTACAATTATCAGCATTTTATTATAATACTCACTAAATTAACTTAATCAATAAAAAATTGAGTGATCAATATTGATTCATTACACTGGGTGTTGTCTATAGGTGACACTCGTACACGCTTGTAACAATAGGATTAATTTTGCCAAAGTTACAATTATCAGCATTTTATTATAGTACTCACTAAATGAACTTAATCAATAAAAAATTGAGTGATCAATATTGATTCATTACACTGGGTGTTGTCTATAGGCGACACTCGTACACGCTTGTAATAATAGGGTTAATTTTGCCAAAGTTAGAATTATCAGCATTTCACTATAATACTTACTAAATGAACTTAATCAATAAGAATTAGAGTGATAAATAGTAAGCAAAATTAATCACACTAGGTATTGTCAATAGGCGTCAATCGTTCACACAGTGTCTCTTATAGACGAGGCTCGCAACAAATGGGTTAATTTTGTAAAAGTAAGAACTATTAGCATTTTATTATAAAACTTACTAAATCGACTTAATCAATGAGAATTATAATGATAAATATTGAGCAAAATACCTCAAGCTCGATGTCGTCTAGAAATGACACTTGTACACACAGGTTGTCTATCGTATGTCGCCTATAGTCGATGCCAGCAGCTAAAAGGGTTAATTTTCTCAAACTAAAAACTATTATAATACTTACTATATCGACACTTGTACACACAGCTCGAATAGTGGATGTCGCGTATAGGCGACTCTCGTAACGAAAGTGTTAATTTTTACCAAAGTAAGAACTATCACCATATTGTTGTAATACTTACTAAATGAACTTAATCAATAAGAATTTGGGTGATAAACATTGAGCAAAATTAATCACTGTAGTTGTCGTCTACAGGCGACACTCGTCCACACAGTATCGCCTATAAACGACGATTGTAACAAAAGCATCAATTGTGCCTAAGTAATAACTATCAACATTTTATTATAAAACTTACTGGATCGACTTCATCAATAAGAATTAGAGCGATAAATTTGGAAGCGAAAGTCGACATACTGGTGTCGTCTAAAAGCAACACTCGTACACATAGGTCGTCTATCGGATGTCGCCTATACTCGACGCTTGTAGCTAAAAGGGTTAATTTTGCCAAATTAAGAACTATTATAATATTTACTGCATCGATACTCGTACACACAGGTCGAATTGCGGATGTCGTCGAATAACGAAAGTGTTAATTTTGCCAAAGTAATAACCATCAGCATATTATTATAATACTTACTAAATGAACTTAATCAATAAAAATTTGAGTAATAAATATTGAGCAAAATTTATTACATTGGGTGTCGTCTATAGGCGACACTTGTAACAAAAGGGTTAATTGTGCCAAATTAAGAACTGTAATCAATAACAATTAGAGTGATCAATTTTGAAGCAAAAATTGGCACACTAGATGTCGCCTATAGGCGACACTAGTAACGAAAGTGTTAATTTTGTCAAAGTAAGAACTACCAGCATTTTATTATATTATTTACTAAATGAACTTAATCAATAAAAATTTGAGTGATAAAAATTGAGTAAGATTCATAACACTGGGTATGTCGTCTATAGGCGACACTCCTCCACACAGTGACGCCTATAGACGACGCTTGTACCGAAAGGGTTAATTTTGCCAAAGTAAGAACTATTAACATTATATTATAATATTCACTAAACACAAATATTTTTTTACACTTTTTAAAACATCTATGCACACACATTTTTTGCATAATATTTACTTAATTTAAATTAATATTGATACATAGGGTAAGGTTGCTTAAGTCGTACCTTCTATGAAAATAATGCTTTTTTATTTAGTACAATTAAATTAAAGAAAAAATTAATTTGGAGTAATAAATTTCGTAGTAAAAGTGTCACACGCGACACTCGTACATACAGACCGTTTAGCAACGTGTATGATGTCGTCTGGCGGATGTCGCCTATACTCGATATCTTTATCATTAATTGCATTTATTTACTTAATTCAATTGAAAAAAAATTAACTCGGGGTGATAAATATTACAGCAAAATTTATCACGCTGGATGTCGCCTAAAGGCAACACTCGTACTCACGAATAATCTAGCGAATGCTGCCTTTAGTCGACGCTCGAAGCTAAAGATTGCCATAATATTCATTACAATTAAATGAAAAAGAAAATTTAACTCGGAGTGATGAACATTGAAGCAAAAAAGTGACACACTAGATGTCGTCTATGAGCGACACTCGTACACACAGAGTCTCTAGCGACGCCTATAGTCGACGTTTGAAGCGAAAGGGAAAATAATGTTATTATGTTTAGCACAATCAAATAAAAAGAAAATTTAATTCGCGGTGATAAATATTACACAAAATTCGTTACACTAGATGTCGTCTATAGGCGATACTCGTACACACAGATCGTCTAACGAATGTCGACTATAGTCGACACTAAATGCGAAAGGGGAAAAAATGCTATAATATTTAGAGCAATTAAATAAAAAGAAAATTTTACTCGAAGTGATTAACATTGAACTAAAAAGACACAGTGGATGTCGTCTATAGGGGACACTAGTACACACAGATCGTTTGGCGGAAGTCGTCTATAGGCGACGCTTGAAGCGAAATAGTCGATTTTGTAAAAGTAACAACTATTAGCATTATATTATAACATTTACTAAATACAACTATTTTTTGTACTTTTCACTTTATATTAATATTAATAAATAGGGTAAGGTTGCCTAAGTCGTACTTTCTAAAAAAATACTTCAATTAATATTAAGCATTAAGAATGAGGTAATTATTCAGCTTAATATTAATAAATGCTGTAAGGTTGCTTAATTCGTACCTCCTGAGGAAATAATTTTGTAATATTTTGTGTAATTAAACTAAAGGAATGATTTTTTTTGCTTACTAATTACAATATTAATTTACTTTTTCTATATTAATATTAATAAATAAAGTGAAGATGCTTAATATTTATAGTGCAATTAAATTTTGAAAAAGTAGACGTTTATCTTTATTTTATTTTCTTATAATTAGCAAAAACCGAAATTTCATTTTTTTCATCAAAATAGAATTTAAAAATGTTATTAATAATAAATAGGGTGAGGTTGCCTAAGATTATTAACGATGCTTTAATATTTAATATTTTGTCCTGGGCGTTTTTTGAATCTTTATTTAATTGGCTTATGAAATTGGATAAAATTTTATTTTTTTTCACATTTTTCAAAATAGTGCTTTCGGTGCGAATGAGGCGCCTTAGCCGAACCACCTATTATATAACTGCAATAAAGTTCATACTAAAATTTTACTATATTTTCCATTTCCCTTAGAAATTTGAGCCAGACATGACCCGCTTACCGCCCCTCTACGACTCACCGCCGCAACAAACCCCTCTTATAACGCGGTCCAGGCCGAGTTCTCGCGTCTCTTCTCCCACGACCTTCAAATTAAGGGTAGTTCCGCCATCCCCTGCCAATAAACCAGGACATGTGTTCACGCCAAATGCTCTGGTTGCACCTGTCAAGGAACCACCAATAAGGTAAATGATATATGGTAATATAATAATGAAAAAGTATCTTAAATTCATTTTATTCATTTTTTATTCATTTCATGTATCTTTTATTCATTTTATTCATTTTAATATTAAGTATCTTTCATCCTAGGCGTAATGTGGAGTTTCTAAGACGATATCGTTCGACTGAAACAGAGACGGAAACCGAAAATGAATATTCTGAAGATGATGGTAGGGCCTTTGTGGTCCTGGACGCGCCTCTTCCTGGTACCAGGAGACGAGAAAAGCTTTTGAGAAAGGCAGAGATTTGTGCCAGGAATAATAATTGGATGCCGCCTTGGTATGACAGGATACAGAGATAGTCGGGATAACCAAAAATATATGAAAAATTTATAGGTAAAACAATCAGGTAAATTCACTAAAAACTATTTGTGGTTGGGAAGTGAGAAGGTTTTTACCCTGCCATCGGTGGTGTTTACCAAAATTAAAATAATTATATGGAAAAACATCACCATAAAAGTCTTTTTCAATAATTCTTGATTGAAGATAGATAGAATTTTTACAACAATCTTAAGTAAATAAATAAATTTAAAGAAAACACTTGATGGTTTTCTAATAAAATATCTAATCGTTGGTGGGTTGGTTTTCTTTTAATGAAAGATTTTTTGCCTTTTGATGATTTTTTGTTCTAAAGCAGTTTGGCAATTAAGCAATTAGCAACTATAGATGTATAAACATTAATTTAGGACAGTTTTTGAATTTTTACAACAATTTTAAATGAATAAATTACAAAAAATTGAAGTGACAATAGAAAATTTCTTATTACCATATTTAGTCATTAGTCGGTTTACATGTTAATTATTATTACATGTTATTACATGTTACATGATCATTATCCTTTGGTTGATTTTTATCTAGCAAAAATTAGGTAAAGCAAATGTATACAAGTTTTGACCACTAATTCTGGATTTAGGAAGGGTTTGGAATTTTGACTACAATTTTGAATAAATTAATAATTTTGTAGAAATAAAGTCAAGCATATTGTTTTGAAAAATAATGCATATTTTGATTGGCAATAAATATATGTAAATAAAATTGTGGATAACAATCGATGACGTCCTATTAATACTTCTTATCGTTTGTTGATTTTCATATTAATGAGAAGTTTTTTATCCTTTTGATGATTTTTTATCCTACTACAATGTGGTAAAACATCGTTATAGAAATTTCAATTATTGATTTTCGATTCAGAAAGGATTATAATTTTTTCAACAATTTTGAATGATTTATTAACAATATGGTTGGCTGATTTTCAAGTTAATGAGATGTTTGTTTTATCTTTTTAATGATTTTTTATCCTACAATATAGCCAAACAAATTTATAGCATTTTTAACTAATAATCCTTACATTCTGATGAAATTAGAATTTTTACTTTATTTTACTTAATTTTAAATGAATAAATAAACAAATTTGAAGAGGTAATAGATGATATTTTGATAAAATTTCTAATTTTTGACTGGTTTTAATGTTCGTGTGAGTATAGAATGTTGTAACGAACAATTTTTAGTACAGGAAGTTGTAATATTGTTTATAACAATTTTATACAATTTGAGCATTTATTTTTTTATAAATTTAAAGAAAACAGTGGATAACTTCCTATCAATTTGGTTGGTAGTTTTTCAAGAATTTTTTTTTATCCTTTCTATGATTTTCTTTCCTACAACAATGTGGCAAATATCACTATATGTAAAAATTCTAATCATTCATCCTTTGGAATTGAAATTGATGAGATGTGTTTATGCCTATCAATGACTTTTTATTCTGTAGCAAAATTTTACTATAATAAATTTAATCAATAATCCTTAATTCAGGAAAGATTTAGCATGAAATTTGCTACAATTTTGACGAAAACAATAAAAATGGTCATAAATATTTCATTAATAAGACTTGTATAATATATTTATATTAACTTCCATCTATTAGAGGGCTAGTACGTTGAAAACTTAATTATTTACCTAATTGCCAGAAATTTGTAATTATCGAATTCTTGTATTTTTACTTGAAAATCTGATGAAAGAAACTGTAATCATTGTACTTTTAAAAAGTTTAGAGTTTTTAAAATTTATTATTAGTGATTGATTAGCTAAATTACCATCCACGAGTGTCATAAATTATTGGATAAGTATATATATTTTGGAGAAATAAATCTTAGACTTTTTGTCTCAATAATACCTCAATTTAAATCACTTTTCGAGTAGATTTAAATAAATAAATTGAGTAAAAACATCACTTTTCGTTGTAAATTGAAATACAGTAAATTTATAATGAATATAAGATAATATTTATTATTACATGTAATCGTTGCTAATGAAAAATCTCCTATTCAAAATTTATTGAAATATGCATTCTCGTTGTTCAAATATATATTTTTATTTATACACTGCCATTGTTGTTCGTAATAGTAAAACGTATTTTTGTAACAAATATCTGTAAAATAATATATAAACTGTTACAATAATTTACCATAAAAATTATTTATTTATTCATGTTATATATAAAAAAATTAGATTGTTAAAAATTTCGATGTATTATAAGAATTCTAAATTAAATTTTTATTTTATCGTTGTGTACACATAAAATAAATATATCTGGATGTTATAGATTTTAGAAGTATAAAATTTGTTATAAATAAATAGATATATATACTAATATATATATATATATATATATATATATATATATATATATACATATAATAATTTGCAGATCATTCGTTAAATTAAAAAAAGTAATAAAAAAAAATAGATTATAAGTTTTGACACTTGATTTGTGTCATCAAGCCAATAATGAATAAATTCAAATATTTGATACATACTAAATAGGCCAAAAATTAAAACACAAATGAAAGTTTTAAGAAATTTAAATTTCAAACAATAGGTTTAATATGCATATTTTTTCTCATAAACTTTCATCATTAACAAAATTGTGCATTTATATTCATTACGTTAATGTATTTTGGATTGAATGAATGATGACACACATCAAGTGTCGAAACGTATAATCAATAAAGAATGTTTTTCTTGATTTGACCAATGAGTTGCAAATTATTTGAAATATATTTCAATTCCGTTTTGTTACTAGATAAAATTTAATAATAATATTCGTTGTTGTAGATACATATTTTTATAATACAAATATAAAAAACATTTTGTTCTTGTAAATTGTAACTTATAAATTTGTTTCTTGTGCGAAAACATATTTTTTAAGCATGACAAAAGTATAAGTCTTTTTTTATAAATTTGTTTTTTTATGGCACTTACACCTAGTTCATTAACAAGTTCGTGGCTAGTAGAAGTTCCAGCAAGGTACAAAAATTGACAGACATTTCAGTTTAAAATTGGATGTGATATCCGAAATTTTATTAAACACCATTTATAAGTATAGATAGATCTTCATATTTTATTCGTCGATGAATGCTATAGCATCCACGTCAATTATTGCGTTTCTATTTACGCTATGTGCTTGTCCTAAAGAAACAGTTAGTTGACTTGACAGGTATAATAATTTTAAAAACATAAGGTTATATAAAATTAAATTAAAAATGATTGACTTCAAGATTTGAATGCTATAGCATCCACATGTATTACGCTTCCATAATTCTCTAGAAAAGACACACTTTTAGTCTCTCCACGTGGTGTCTCTTTTTAAACACCCATTATAAAGAAACTCATCAGATAATTAAATTTTAAACGTTATATTACGATGAATGCTATAGCATCCACGTCAAGTATTGCACTTCTATTTTAGGCAAAGTGCTTGCCTAAGGTAAAAGATAAAATTATACCAAAATACCTAAAGAATCAGTTAGTCATTACCTTGACAGGTATTAATAAGTAATAATTACAAAAACGTAAGTTAAATTGATAATATTTGGCTTTAAAATTTGAATGCAATAGCATTCACGTCAATCTGCATCATAAAAGGTTGAGTAAAATATGATTTGAAATTCGTGCAATTTTTTGCATTCGTTCCTTAAATTGCACATAACCACGATGACGTCATCGTGCATCATCGCCTTATTACCAAATATGGCAATTGTTAGACAAGGACAATAGATTGTCAAAAATTGTGCAAATTCTGTCAGTAATCGAGGAGCACTCGAAGTGTTCGGTCGTCTTTAGTCGTCGGTCGTCGGTAGTGTTAATTCCTTCGGGTGCTGTTTTGTCCTTGTCGACGGTCGTCGCCGCGTGTGGAAAGTGAATTTATTGCAAATGTTTGGGAATAAAATGGTAAGTTATAGATTGTAATAATTGATATATATATATATATATATATATATATAAGAATATTTCTCCTCAATTCGACCAAAATTCAGCCGAATCCCCATGCATATTGTTTGTGTTAGTTACGTAATTGCCTTTGTAAACACCTCTAGACTGCAAACATGTGGGTATTTGCATCCGGACAACGTTTGGTTACAATTTACAGAACCCGACAATAAATTTTGCACAAATAACATGCGGATTACCCGAATTATTCCAATCCGAATGTTCTCAGAGATCGCAATTGGCCGGTTGGAATTAGGCAGGAGAGGAACTCAGGGTACAAAAAATCAAACGCAGTGTAAGTGGCATTTAGCCTTTATACAAGTTGCATGATCCTTCTGACATGTGTAAATAATTAGCTCTATCAACAAAAATTTTAATTGATTATTTAGAAAAATGTTGAACTGTTTACTTCGAAAATGATATTTTTGCTTTTACCCAAAGATAATCGATACGATTTCTAATGGATATCTTTCAAGCATACTTATATTTAATTGTATAAATTAAACTAGTGGTGTATGGCATCGTGCCTTAAGGCAAATTGCTGGAACTTCCAGTAACAAAAATTGAACATTTGTAAAATAAAAACTAGTGGTGCATGGAATCGTGCTTTAAGGCAAATTGTTGGAACTTTCCGTAACGTAATAAAATATTCTAAGAATATTATATTGTTTCAAATAGATTATTGTATATGTTGTAACTCTTATTAGAAATTGAAAAAGCGAAAAAGAAATTATGCTCTTAAAAAATGACAAGATCACATCGATTTTTAAATATTTCGTAAAAATTGAACATATTGAAGAACCGCTTCAAGAAAAAATGTAACATTTCTATCTTATATTCTTATCATACTATGGAGTAATAATATTTTCATGTGTTATATTAAGATACAAAATTGTAATTGTTTATTATTATTATTGTTTTTCTATGAAATTTCTTACATATTATTTATTTAGTTCTAATTTTTATAGTTATATTGATAAATCTTATTTTTATAGTTATATTGATTGTCACTGAATGAAGGCTAAAATGCTAG